TTGTTCATGGCACTGGGGATTTGGAAGCCAAGTTTAAAACACTAACGAGGATTTGAAATTGCTTCTCACACATCATTAGATATTCATAGCAATGAGGCAGTAACAATAGCGAATTAAGTTGTTCAATGAGGCGAATGCGTAACGAAGGAACGAATTAAAGGCGTTGTTGTTGTAGTATTTGTTCTCCTTCGAAGGAAGCATGGCATCTAGTTGCAAAAAGAGGCGATTTCGAGATCCCCAAAGCGTGGAAAGAAGCATTGACAACGTGCGAAATGCTATTCCACGAACAACGCGTTATAAAAATCGTTGGGGAGTTCGTATATTTGAAGATTGGCAAAGTGGGCGAGAAAATAAAGCAGTCATGTGTGAGAGCAATCCTTTCAGCTTAGATTTGCAGAATTTGCAAAATTTGGAGACAGAATTGTGTTCAATGACGGCAAGAACGTTAAACTTCTGGCTTATCAAATTTGTTCAAGAAGTTTGCGACAAGGATGGCAAGTCATATCCCGGGCGTACAGTATACCAAATTATATGCTCGTTGAAACGACATCTAGACAAAAATGGCCGGGCTGAAGCTAACATGTTAAATGCTAACAATCACTGGTAGGTTGAATTTGTTCATTTTTAATTAATGGTTTAGTTTAATTTATTGTAATATGAGCATGTTTATTACTCAGTTTCCAGACGTTCAGAAGAGTGCTGGATAGTGAAATGAAAGCCACCCACCGGGAAGGCGAATCGCTTGCGGAGAATCGTACAAGACGAGAGAAAGAAGCTATTACAGATGATGAAGAAGGTTTGCTGTGGTCAAAAGGCTTGCTGGGAGACAAAACTGCTCAAAGTTTGGTTTACACAATTTATTTCTATATCGGAAAAATATTCGGATTAAGAGCATGTGGTATTGTGAACACAGACAGTTAAGATTAAGCAACCTTGTCATAGAAAACAACAAAATTTGTTATCGAGAAAATATTTCGAAAACGTTTCATGGAGGATTGAAAGATTTAAAGAAGAAACCTAGAATTGTGACTCATTATTGTCACGAGGATGAGGAAAGTGTGCATGAACCATGTCTGGTTCAAATGTTTAAGCAGTACATTCCCTTGGTCAGCGAGTTACCGAAAATTAATGAATCATTCTATTTTCGACCGAGCAAAACAGCGTATAAATTCGAAAATGCACCAATTGGTATTCATAAGCTTAATTCTATCGTGCCTTTCAGTGGCGGAAAGAAGCTGGTCTTGAGATTAAGACAGCACACTGCCTTCGTGTCACAACAGCAACAAATTTGTTTCGTGCTGGCCATCAAGAAAAATTAATACGTGAACGAACTGGGCATGTTTCTTCTGCCTTATTTACGTATGAGAAACCTAGTAATGATCAAGCAATGGCTGTATCCAAGTGTGTTGGGCCATCTGTATCAAAGGTTGTGTCGCTTGTTGACAACTGTTTTAAGCCACCCTCGAAGCCTGAGGAAGACGAAAAGTTTCAAATTTCCGACGAGGAACTTGATACGTTTTTGAGTGAAGTGGACTGGTATAAAATTGATAAAGAGGTGCAGCGACGTACTATCGCAGAAAAGTTTGTTTTGTCGAACAGTACATTCACTAACTGTTCCTTTAACATTTCGTTTGCCGGAAATAAGTAATACTAAGTCAATTGTATGTGTGTTATTGTTAGTGTGATTAAAAAAGCAACATATTTTGTTGTTTGAAGTGTGTTTTAATGTTTTTGTGTATTTAGAAGTTATTTCTAAATACAGCTTACTGTATTTAGAAATAATTCTAAACATAGCAATTAAAAGTATTTGCATAATCTTTTGTTTACCCCTCAATTTCCCTATTGTTCAAAGCCCTTCCCACTTGAAGTAATTAAATTCCTGGTCTAGACGGGGTATCCAGATAGATACACGTGATGTAAATTACACCATGTCATTGGCCGAAATGTATGAATATCTAATGATGTGTGAGAACTTTATTTATCCACGCTGACCCCGTCAACCGTAGCTGATTTCCACGGGGGGCGTGTGCCAGAAAATTATTTTACATGCAGAATATGATAATGACAAGGTAAGCTATTTACAGTAATATATAAATTTAAAAGATATAACAAATGTTTTGAGTTATTTACAAGTAAATTATATTTAGAAAGGTTACCAAGCACTAATGTGAGCAGAGATTTTATTTCGAAAGGAAGAAAGCATCCATATTGTTCCCCAGAAAGTATCATGGTGACCATGAATAACAAGACAATAATATCAATTATCAAATTATTGAAGTAGCGGTAACTGAAACAGTAAAGGAAATCTTTATATCCTGTCGTTTACTTCAGTTCTTGTCCTGGAGTAATACAGTAGGTCACTAGTATTGAATTCGATTTTCTCAAGACATCGAGAATTATCCCTCCTAGGTTTTACAGTCGGTACATAGTGCAAGGTTCGACCTCGATAATTTTCACTACTTAAGTACTTAACGCATTCAATAATTATCAAATATTTGTCATCGAATAAAATTCCATTATTGCTTTCCGACAAAGAGTATACTTTTAAATTTTGAAAAACGAGTGTTTTGGGGATAATAAAGCTCAACATTGAACATGTATACCCTGGGTTTCATGGCCTTCAGAGAGTTTCCTAGCTAGGTTTCTGTCAAGCTCGTCGTTGACTCTCAATTTCTAGGGAGCACTGCTGAAAAATTTAGAAGAGGGGATGTTTTGTGCTAGTTTCGGTCGCAGCCTTGGTAAAAATACATTCTTCTAGACCGTGAAGAATATTAGATTTTTCCTTTATTTCTTAAAACTTTAAAGTAAACATACAAACTCAACTTTCTAGCAATAAATGAACTTAACCAAGCATGGGAGCCACAGCAAATATGATCTGATTAATTAATAGTTTATACAAAAAGGGCATCGCCGTTTTAAAGTAAACCAGGCAGACCAGCGTCAATTGTAGCTTCGGTAAAAAATTATTAAAATCCGGAAGAACAAATTTTGTGAGGTTCGGGGGAGGGCATTATTTGAATTTTATTTCCGGAGGGGGGCAGCCCTCACCCAGCTACGGGCTTGGTTTCTGTGTAATTACTGTACTTGGGACGCTGTAAGGGCATAGTTAATAGAAGAGATGGTTTGGAAACTCATTAGAATAACAGTATAAATCATTATCTATGTTAGTCAACGTTTATTCATAAGTCTAGTCCTTCACCTTCACCGTCACGTGCGTATTGTATTTTTGCCCAACTAACCAATAGCAATGTTTTAGGAAAGTTGCCTATCCGTGCTAGAACAATAGGATAAATTGGAAATTGCTATTGGTGGATTTGGCAAAAATACAATACACATGTGACGGTGAAGGACCATATTTATGAATAAACGTTGACTAATATCGATAATAAGTTATATTGTTATTCCAATGCGTTTCCAAACTATCTATTCTATTAACTATGGTGAAGGCTATAGCTCTGGTTCACTGGGAAATTCTTGTAAAATTGGTTGTCTTTTAGTTTTCACAGTACTCATAGTTTTCGTCAATTTTTCTTTAAAATTGTTGGGAAACAACTCATCTTGTTCACCTGTTACTACGATATGGCATTCCAGGGAGTATCGAGAGTGTGTCTTTTGTAAACAAAGACATTATTTCCAGTTTACAAAAATGAATCTAATTGTTAAACAAAGTCCAAGGAAAATGATTCTATTCTTTTCAATTCAATCAATAAATATTTTATATAGTATATTTGTATCAGTCGAGTTATTGAGCACGCAGGAAGTTGGGAGACTGCTCTTCCATCATGATTTGGTTTGAATAAAGTGGCGAGTGTTTTTATTCAACAAATTTTAGCAATATAGATTATTTGAGGAGATGTTTGCCAAAAATTAGGCCAAAAAAACTCCTGAGGCCGGTTGTATAAAAACGCAGTTAGCGCTAACTGCAGTTAAAAAGTAGTTCAATAGTGGTTAACTTTAATCACGTAGTTAAGCCGGTTGTATAATAGTGTAGTTAGCCTTAACTGTAGTTAAAAAGTAGTTAAAAAGTAGTTAATAATATAATGCTAACTATGCTTTAGAGTATAGTTAACTATCCAAAACTTAGTTAAAAATGGCGCTTATATAAAGGAGTGAACAACATTTTTTAGTAAAACAACAATGAAAAGCCATGCTTATACCTTGGATTTTCAATCGCTATCTTCCTTTGAATGCTTTCTGAGAATATAAACTCTTCAAACGCTATATCGCTTTGGTGTTTTTACGAAGACAGAATATATTTTTGCACAGGACGGACAATTTCTCGAAGACGAACCATTACACCAAGAAACACTGATATATAATTGCCAAACCGCTACACCTTGGTCTAACGTAGACATCTCGCGGAAAAACTGCCTTCTTTTATGACTTTTGTGGCGGTTTTTCCTTGTTTTCTTGTTTATTTTTTACTGTCTTGAATAAAATTCCCACCTATTTGCGAAATGCGAGTCCACAATGATGTTAAAAATGCGTGTCAGCGATCGTTAATCACTACTTACTTTATGTAATTTTGTATTTAAACGCCCCACGCAAACCCCACGCACAGTTAACTACGTGATTAGTTAACTATCCGACTAACTACGTTTTGTGCAACGCAGTTAAGTCATGTAGTTAACTAATTACAGTTAAGGATTTAACTACGGTAGTTAATGCTAACTGCTGTTAGCGCTAACTACGTTTTTATACAACCGGCCCCTGCGCTTTTTTGCCGTGCTCAATGGAATTATTACAGAGCTTGACAACACGTACGCCAACCGGAAGTCAATTAAGCCGTTATAGATGGCGCGTAATGGCGTCAGCAGTTCTCGTTTTACGTCGTTTTAATTTTATCGCCGTTTTTAATTTCTTAGAAATAATGATGCTTTTTGGAGTGAATCAATTACTCTGTTGCCTAATATTTGCATTGGGTAAGTTATAATAAACTAAACCAATTAAACTTGCAACAACATTTCTGGTGAACTCCATCTCTTTTATCTGGAACGATAACCAGCTGGGAAAAGTACTTTATTGGACGTCAATGGCCTCCATTTTGGCTTCACTTTTCTTACAGGACGAATGACTGAAGTTGTTGCTCTATAAATATATATATATATATATATATCACTAATCGTACGTACAAGCTGGCGTGGATTCTTGACGCCACTGCATGTTTATACGCGTTGCTGACGCGAGGGTTCACTTTTTTAGAAAAAATTCCAACATCCCTATACATGTCAAATTTTGAATGTGAAGAAATTAATCTCGATTACTTCACATGATTCATGCATGTTACGAAATTACCCAATTTTGCATGTAAATAACGCATGCATGTAAATAGATGCCATATATATGCGTTTGCATCTAAAGTCACAATAGAATCGGTTTTGAACAGGATCTCATCTGTAAATTAAAAGACACATGCGAAATTATTTTACATTGTTAAATTTGGAAATAGATAACATGATTTTAAAAGTCCACTCCCTGAGCTCCAATAATTTCTCCCTTCAATTGCAAAAATTTGATTAAAAAAGGAAACCGAGTACCAGTTATTACCAAGTACCGAAAATATTATTAATATTATGCTGATGCATGTGCTATGTTTAGGAGCTTACGGCAGTGCAAGTAATGCGGACTGGGAAAAGAAATTCGTATTGGAAGAATCATGGGACAGTCAGAAATTTTTAAGTATGATTTTCAATATTGTATGATCAATGAACTGTTATGTTTTTAATCTACGCTTGTGAGTTCATATAGCAGCACTGCTGCAGTATATACAGAAAACCACAAACAATCGGCTGAGTTCTATTCTCAGGTTTCACACATAGTGTTCCGGGTTTAGGCTATTATAGGTATTGTCGGGTTTAGGCTAGGGATATGAAGCTAGGGATTCTCGGGTTTAGGCTAGGGATATGAAGCTAGGGATTCTCGGGTTTAGGCTAGGGATATGAAGGTTATTGGGGTCAAGGTGAAAGAGAAATTAAACATGCAGTCACAACTAAACATTAGGATATTATCAAGAATTGGTTGTAGAATTTGGTATTTATTTCATCCCAAATATAAAGCAAATTAACAAATAGATGGATTACAAATTTTGTTTCCAATAGCACTGAATGGGGACCTTCCACTAGAAGGTGAATCAAACAATGAGTTAGTTGCGCTTCGTGAGCAACCAGTCAAGGAAACTCGTGTGAAAAGGGAAACACCGACTGGAAGTGGAAGTGGAAATGAATCAAGTGATGAAAGTAAGTGATACAATAGTGTAGCTATTTCAATTAAGGTTGTCCCCGAGCAAAGCGGAAAAGTCGAATACGAGCGCGAAAGGCGTGCTGGGAATCGCTAAAAATTCATTAATTGACATAGCTGTAGATAAAGCAAGCACAATACGGACCGAATACGAGCGCGAAAGGCTTGCTGGGAATCGCTAAAAAATTCATTAATTGAACTAGCTGTAGATAAAGCAAGCACAATACGGACCTCTCGCGTTTTGCACACGAAAACAAACCGAAAAATGAAAACAATTTGAAACCGAAAAATTAACTCAAACAACTATTCCAAAGTAGAAAAATTCATATAATCATTTACATGTATGAAATATATATGCGAGTCACTCATTAAAATAAAACAGCAAATTAATAACAACTTAGCATGCATGCAACTCTCAAAAGTCAAAACTTAATTAAGGGAAGAAAATATGAGAATTGCAATTTTGTTATCTTGTCTAAATAGTTCGAATCTTGAGTATACAAGATGTCGTTAGTATTCGGAGTGTGTATATACATCTTATATTTCGCGAAATTGTGTGCTGGTAAAAGATATTGTTATCCAAGGTGTTTTTAGCCAAGCTGCAAAGGGCAGATTAATAGCTTATAATTGGTGTAGCGAATCAGTTTTAATATAGCTACACCGAATTTGGACAGCCGACATTCCGGCCTATCGTTCTTTTTTTTTTACTTTTAGGAGGAGTGACCAACATTTGCAGGGAAAAGCTCGATCTTGGGTTTATTTTAGACAGATCTGGTAGTATCGGCTCAACTAATTTTGAAAAAATAAAATCTTTTGTTAAAGATCTTACTGACTATTTCGAGGTTTCTCAAACGTACACAAGAGTGTCTGTGATGTCATACTCCTCATCCTCTACTATACATTTTCAATTTTCTCGACAATTTCCAACCAAGCAGGATCTTTATTCAGCAATCGACAGCATTTCGTATGATGGAGGCGGCACCAACACCGGAGAAGCATTAACGAAAGCATATACAACCATGTTCAATACCAATAATGGGGCCCGACTTTCAGGTATGTTATATTCTTTTCAATGATTCTAAGTTTTGTATTTTGTATCCCCCATTACTACGCCAAACTGTTTTTCCCTAGTCACAGTAAGTTCTAAGTAGTTTCAATAAGCAAAATATTTCGTTCATGCATTTAAATTGGATAAAACTCGCTATCAGTCCTCGTTGACTCGGTAGCTCAATGGGTAGAGCGGCGGTCTGTAGTAACACAACGAGGACGCGAGTTTGAATCCCACTCGAGCCAGTATCAGAATAATATGAAACTAGTTGTTCTTAACTTAGTTTGCCCAAGATGTTTTCGTTTCTTTTAAAAGAAAAAAATGGCATATTGCCCCAAAGCCAGGGCCCGAGTGTAATGAGTAAATCAGTTTAACATTGAAAAGAATTATAAATTTTTATGCTCATAGTGTCAAATGTTACTAAAATCATAAAATCAAGTAGAAAAATTATTTTGTTGCTGACCGGTGTCGCAGGAAATCATACCCCTACCATAATACAAAATCTGTTGGAGAGCACATTTAAACTGGCTTATGTTGCACGTGTTTGAATGTTTAGCGTGCAATTTATTACAAATTTCACTATAATTGAAACTTTGTTTTGTGAAGCTGAGATTTTTTAAAAGTGTGTTTTCAGAATGCAGGAATTAGCTACTATTTCAGAGACCCAAATTTTAAAAATTTCCTGCAAAGGTGCATATATCCCCAAACCCCCAACCTAAGTCGTTCCTGCGGCACTCCGCTCACAGCTTCGGAGCTCGCATACTATCCTGGGGGAAGGGCAAGGAAAATGGGCCCTTTGGCAGTTTTGCCCCAGCAATGAAGAATCCTTAAAAAATTCAATGTTTATAGTGGCAAAAATATATTATTTAGATGCAAGGCAGGTTTTGATAGTTCTAACTGATGGCCAAAGTAGTGGTGTTGACCAACCAGCACAGCAACTCAAGAGCATTGGTGTTACAATATTTTCTATTGGAGTTGGTTCGGGTATTCGTGTTTCAGAATTGGAAACAATGGCATCACCCCCAGTTGATGAACATGTTTACCTGTTGAAAAATTTTACTGAGCTTTCAACGTTGGCAGAGAAATTGTCGTCTTCAACTTGCAATGGTATCCATATAATATTTTTTATTTTATTTATATATTTATATATATATATATATATATATATATATATATATATATATATATATATATATATATATATATATATATATATATATATATATATATATATATATATATATATATATATATATATATATATATATATATATATATATATCAAAGATTTTGGTTTACGAAACACAAACAGTGCTCAATACCATATAGATAGAGCGTAATATAGTTTTTCGTTTTACCTCAAAAAACCACAACAGTCTGTTTCATCCGTATAGGAATCATCAGATGGTGAATAATTTCGAAATTGTAGGTTGCTTTTATGCTATCGAAAGAATGTGCGGAATGCGTGTAGGCGAAACAATGCTTAGGTGAAACAATGCATGCTTGGGTCATTAGGTTTTGTTAACGACCTTGTTTACTCGAAACCGGTTTTTGTGACGACATTTGCCGAAAATTTCGCTTCTTTTATTGAGTAAATTGTTTTTGTTTATGTCTTTCAAGATGCAAAATTTTTCTTTCAAACATAAATTGCAGCGTTTTGATCTAATATTACGAAATGATCCTGTGTGCGAAATGTAAAGAAAATTACGTTCCTGTTGCGAAATGTAAGAAAAATTTTGCATTTTGAAAGACATAAACAAAGACAATTTACTCAATAAAAGAAGCGAAATTTTCGGCAAATGTCGTCACAAAAACCGGTTTCGAGTAAACAAGGTCGTTAACAAAACCTAATGACCCAAGCATGCATTGTTTTACCTAAGCATTGTTTCGCCTACACGCATTCCGCACATTCTTTCGATAGCATAAAAGCAACCTACAATTTCGAAATTATTCACCACCTGATGATTCCTATACGGATGAAACACACTGTTGTGGTTTTTTGAGGTAAAACGAAAAACTATATATATATATATATATATATATATATATATATATATATATATATATATATATATATATATATATATATATATATATATATATATATATATGAAACGCAAAGAGTGCTCAATATCATAAAGATAGAGCAATTTCGCTTACCTCAAAATTCCGCAACAGTCTGTTTCATCAGTAAAAAATCATCAGGCGGTGATTCTTATATTCAGTTTTCAAGGCGTTTAGAGTTAATTTATTAGCTATAAGCCATAATTCAAGTTTTCTTAAATCACGTTCCATTTGACGCTGAAGTTCAACAGGATACCGCCTGATGATTCTTTACTGATGAAACAGACTGTTGCGGAATTTTGAGGTAAGCGAAATTATATATATATATATGCAAAGCTCACTTCCCTTGTGGTCGTTTGAGCACTCTGGTCCCATTACGCTCTGCGCATGTCTGGATGCGTTGATTCAACGTGTTGTACCACATGCCTTGGTGAGAGCAAGTTCATGGGGTATAAATACGATTGTCTCACGTATCTAGACGTGTACCAAGCTGCACTGACGAGGCGTTGAACGCCGAAACATGCATGTCTGCAGATTGTACTAATATATATATATATATATATATATATATATATATATATATATATATATATATATATATATATATATATATATATATATATATATATATATATATATATATATATATATATATATAGCTTAAGTTTTTGGTTTACGAAACACAAACAGTGCTCAATACCATATAGATAGAGCGTAATATAGTTTTTCGTTTTACCTCAAAAAACCACAACAGTCTGTTTCATCCGTATAGAAATCATCAGGTGTATAGGAATCATCAGGAATCATTGTGTTTTTTTGAGGTAAAACGAATATATATATATATATATATATATATATATATATATTATATATTAAGATGAAAATGTTCTAGAGTGTGTATTATATATAATTTCCATACCCAGCGCAAGCAGAAAGATGTTGTCTGCCGCGGCTGGGTCTCGAACCCGCGACCTTCGAATTACTAGATCGACGCTCTACGTACTGAGCTACACGGTCAGACGGATTTAAGACTGGAAATTATGAAATATGTACTGAATGTAATATAATATATAATGCACACTCTAGAACATTTTCATCTTAACATATTACAGAGTGTACAATTACACAACTAATACATATTTATTTGTAGTTCTATTTGCTTTTAATGCCCGCAGCAATCCCTAACTTGCAGGTACCCTAGTAGGTATGTATAAAACACGCGCGTTTTTCGCGTGGGCTTCGCAGGAGCTGAAAAATAACTAATGTTTTCCGATCGATGTTTTTCAATTTTTGTACATTTTAAAATGCTCATTTCTGCGTCGGGCAAAGTAAATTACAGCATGAGCTCGACCTTCGAGTTTACTATATGAGTAAATTGAACTGTTAAACACGTCCGAAATTATTAATACAATCAGTTCGCGACGCTCACCTAACTCTAATCTAATCTTAATCTGACCCTAATCTGAATCTGGAGACTTTTTTCTAATGAACCAGCCCTGTGCGTGCAGCCACCCTTTAAACTTTCAAGGACATTAACCAAACGTCGTGTGTAATGCTTGGGGTTTTGTGTGGTCTCGCGAATTTATTGTATTAATAAATTCGGACGTTTTTGTCTAAAATATGGCCTTATTAAGGTCAAATTTTAGAACAGAATTCGATGCTCTGAATGCAGAAATGGCGTTTCCGGGGTTCAAAATTTCAATTTTTTTTCGGGGGGCAACGGTACGTCCAGCCACGGTTAATCTACGTCAATTAACCGTGGTTAACCTCAAATAATATGAGGAACTATTTGGACTATAAGAAAAATGGAAGCTCCAATCCAATTGCTCAGACTATTCGATTGGCTTCCTTACTTCTTTCCTTTATTTACAAATCTTTTGTAAATTTCAATTTGCAACTTGTTCGCATCGCTTGCAAATTGCTCGCAGCAATATGCCTCTCAAAATTGCAATATTATGGGACAATATTGCAATGTTGCTCGCAAGAGAACATCCGGTTTGACTGTAAAGCCGGTTTTCCATTAGGCGGAATTTTGCGCGCGGAGCGGAAATTTTCTTTATCTTTTCTATAACTAGGGTACCTGCAAGGTAGGGATTGCTGCGGGCATTGAGCAAATAGAACTAAATAGTACAAATTATATAAAGCACAGTTATTACTCGCAGCGAGCCAGCGACTGGTGAGCACTGTGGCCGAAGCTAAGGATACGGGATTGATCCATGCCATGAGTGTAACTGAGAAAAAGCAATGCATTCGTTGCCAATCTGTTCAATTACGCACCGCTTAAGTACGCGTATAAATACAAACGACATAGTCATAGCATTCTTAAGACATACAGCATGAATATGTAATATTTCCAAGATCAAGTGCCGGCAAGTAGAATCTGTTCATTACGCACTGCTTTAGTACGCGTATAAATACAAACAACAAAGCATTCTTAAGACGTACAGGTAACATGATGATATAACACAAGTTTTTGCTCGGTGCATTTACCCGACATTATATACACATTATTAAACTAAGAAACCAAAACTAATCTATCTATACTATAGTCTGTAGTGTAGTGTATAGTGAGTCAAAGCACATGGAGTCGGGTGGATGTGTACTGCACACAACAACTGACCACGACCGCAATTCACAGACTGTAAAAACAGACTGTAAAAACAATCGTTCACAGACTGTAAAAACAATCGATTTCAAAAGAAATTAATTGGGCAGAACACGAATATATGAATATCTGCCCCCCAATTATCGATATTCCGGCGCCTCTGGCAAAGCGCTAGAAAAATCTACTGAACAGACGCCTCTCTGCACAAATTAGACTGCTGCTTCGCTCGCTCGCTTCAGGCTTGCTTGCTCCGCAGCAATTAGTTCCACACGAGACAAAGAAAAGTTCCGCTCCGCTCGCAAAATTCCGCCTAGTGGAAAACCGGTGTCCCAGGATTTTCGCCCCCCCCCCCTACACTTTCGCCCCCCGGAGGGCGAAATTCCTAGGAATATCGCCCCCCAGGGGGGCGGAAATCCTAGGAATTTTCGCCCCCCTTTAGGAAATTCGCCCCCCTTTACAAACTTCACCTTTTCTTTAGGATTTTCGTCCTCCGTTCAATATTTCGCCCTTCCTAACAGTTGCATGGGATAATTATTACATAGCTTTAATCATTTGAAATCAATATCAATTCAAAATTGTTAAGACAGAGCTTGAAATAACAACCGATCACCGATCGGCAAGGAATTGCTTTAATATGATCGGCGGAAAAGCAGGGTTTCGGTTTCCAACCTGAAAAGAGCAGGGAAAGTCATGACTGCCGATCACCATGATCGTGAACTTTGGGAACGTTTATTATTTCAAGCCCTGCATGTAAGAATACAAATTTACAATTACATGTATCGAAAGGGCTTACAGCACACCATGCATATTTTGCATTTCAGTGTTAATCCTTAAACTCATTGTTAAAAAGTAATCACCGTGGTGGTTATTGTAATTATTGGTATTGTTTTGCATCCACGTTTTGTCGTTATTGGAAAATGTGTGGCTTATAAGTTGTCACTATTTTTTACTTGCATTATTTCAATATAGTTTGTAAATCTCAGAAGCGAAGGGTAAAACTTGCCAATAGGCAATACTCCAATAATATACGTTTCAAAAAAGACGAATAAGCTTTTAGTCTTGCAGAGTTACATTCTCAAATGTTTAACGCACTAATAAAGTCAAAGTATCATGAAATTATTTGAATAAACCACACCACATATATAATGCAATTTTCTTTGCGGAAGTCAAGAATCAAGATTACATCACTATTAAATTAAACACTGACATGGAAAGACTGGAAAGTTGATGATTCAACGGACAATAGTCAATACGCTTCCCAACACATTCCATAGATTTTTTATTAATCCTATAGTTTATTGCTAGCAAGTGATTAGTCACTGATTACTGTGGCGGCTATTATTAACACTGGTATTGATAAAATTTGCAAGCGATTGTTTTTATAATATGTTATGTGAATGTAAACTGTCAGAAGAATACGACAACATGATTTTATCATAGATATCTTATATACACTAGATAGCGC